TTGTGCAGTAAAATTGAAACTCCAGCAGAATGACTAGAGCCATGGCTACAGTAAATTGCATTTCCCCATTGATTTTTCCAAAATTTTACATTTCACATGAATGTGTTTCCTAAAGAAGAATTATATCTGACTTTTACTAAATAAATAAAAACGCGTTCTTCTTTACTGCTTCACATAAACCCCTTACGTTTAAGGATACAGCAGAAAAAGAATTAAACTCAAAATCCATTAAACAGAAAAAAATGTAGTACCTCTTATATCTGAACAAACACAAACAATTCTATTTTTGAAATAGGAACAATATATAACCGAAGATACTTCACAAACATTAAATTAGAAAATAATCACTTAACCACCTTGCTTGTCGCTAAGCATTTAGGTATCCAAAAAGGAAAAAAAAGTCAATATAGAGATATTAAATTGAGCAATCTAATTAAATGTAGAACATCGCCAACCGTTATCATCTACACTAGTTTGCGGTTCAAGAGGAGGAACAACAAAGAGGACTTCACAAAATTCGTTGTCCATGGGAATAAAAGGAGCAAGCAGTCTAGTAAGAGTAAATAAAATAAATCCAAGCGTGGGCTAGTCACATAAACGTAAAAAAAGAAAAGAAAAAGCAGCCTGGTACCTTGTATTTCCCCTTAAAAGAGGATAAAGACCATACTCGCATAACCGGTTTATTGTACATCAGAGTAGTTGGATCTTTTCCTGTCGTCCCTGGCTTTTTTAACAAAGGGCCAAAGTTTTTCTCTGGTGGCCTTATCTTCTGGTGAAAGGGCTTCCGTGAGTCGCATCTTGTTGTCGAGAAGAAATTTGCAGCCTCTGGCAGCTTGACAGTGTCGCGAAGACGACTCGGAGCAAACAGGATGATGATTGAACTTTGGGAACCATCCTTTTTTCTCTGGCCAAGACGATGTGCAATGTCAACGGCATCCTCAAGGTTAACGCTGATACCGGGAACTACGTTGCTAAGGACATCGATTGCAACTTTCCAGACATCCTCGCCATCCTTCTCTCTCACGCCATGTAGCTTTTAATGTCCATCTCCAGCTGTAACGCTTACATTCTCCCACCTCTTCCTTCAGGGTTTTATTCACCTTTTTGGAGCTCCTGAATCTCCGTCGCCACAATTCTCAGAGACTTCTTGTGCGTTGTTACCTCAGTAACAAGTTGAGTAAAAGTTGACGACATAGTCTCAATCTGCTTAGCCGTAGATTCAGTCCTTGTATCAATTGCAGAAATTTTCTGAAACATCTCTTCATATTTGCCAGGTCGCATATGGCGGCCAGAATTTCTGCTGAAGAGCCATTACTTTCCATACTTTCCCGTTTTTTTCTTTCTGATAGAGGTTTTAAGGGAGCATCAGGCAGGGGAGTAGCAAGGAGAAAACTCAAATCTGGGCTTGAATCGAACCAGTTTATGTTCCTCAACATTATCCGATGAAATCACTTCCACGGAGGAAGCGGTGATATCATTCCCTTCAGCATTTTGAATAGGCTCAATAGTTGACATAGGCGCGTGTTCTGTCACGTTGGAAGTTTGTCTATTTTTCCTTCTACCCATAGATAAATTGACGCAAGGAGGGTAATGTGAAGAGAGCAATCACGTACATGTTCATAAATATTATGTCAAACTATAATGGCTAATAATCGTCCTATTTCAAAATTTCCTGACGAGACGTTCAAAAACGTGTCCACCTAACACACTGCCATGTTGGCCTCCAAACACTATAGACTGAACACGCAATATGCATGTGCCAGAGATGTTCACAAGTCTTAAATCTGGAGTCCAAGTCAAGTCTGAAGTCTTTAAGCTGGAGTCTGAGTCAAGTCGAGTATTTTGTCATGAGTCCGAGTCGAGTCTCGAGTCATTTCATGCCTTACAAAAAAAATAAATATTTTTTTTTATTATAAAGACAAAATATATGATCTTTCTATTATCTGTTTTGTTTGTAATAAAGGTCCTAAGATTTAAGAGATAATGTAAATCCAGCTTTATAATCCATTACAACGTGTAAAATCGTCCTGGCAACAAGACAAGTTAGTTATTTTCAATACAATCACTAAACGGACGCAAGATGGCGCCAGTTGCGGTTTGTTATACAGTAGTTTGTTATACAGTGGCGTTGTTATTGACGACAGTCATTATCTGAAAATATCAAACCTCGGAATGTTTACGTCAATAGAAAACTGTACGCATGCTGATTGCGATATGTTAAGTTATGCGCTTTAAGTAATAAATGGATTATCATCCTTCTATCTCCTCTCTCTCATAGACATACATTAAGAGAGAGAAAAGCTGCTTCGAAAAGATCGATTAAAGTAAAACATAGTGCTATAGGTTTAAAGGCTAGATTTAATTGTTAATGTTTTAACAGGCTTGCAATCCAAAGGAGCCATGCAGATACACCACAGTATAATAATGTGACACCTTTGTGGATGCGATGTCTCAATTTTATGTTGTTAATTGTTTTCTCACATTCTTTGCATCTAGCTGATTTGACATGTGAACCCAAATGAAAGAACATATGGCACGGTTTCTCCCGTCATGTTTCATGACTTTCATTATGACATTTCGGAGTTTACGTGCAATATAACGACATACGTAATTAAATTGTATGACAAGCAGGGGCGTAGCAACCGGGGGGGACGGGGGGGACACGTCCCCCCCACTTTTAGAAACAGGTGATTCTGTCCCCCGCATTTTTTTTTACTCAGCGCCAATATTTCCGCCCGTGTTCTCTGATTTGTTACTTAGACTTGAGTGAGCTAACATTCAGCCAATCACAGCGCGAAGCATCTATTGGGCGCGTCTGCCATGAGCTTCAAATCTTTTGTCGCTCTTGCGAATTTTCGTGTTTGTTTAGTCGCTTTGCTGTTTGGCCGTCTAATGCACCCCAGAAAAAAAGCAGAGGACTACATCATTTTTTTCAAACACACACTGTTAGCCTACAGTATGTCGCGATGACATGAATCACACGTAAAGTTTCCTTGTTATGATTTAACCTACTGTAACGCTGCTGTAAGACGAGACAACAGAACCCGTATGGGTTCACGTCGCGCCGGATTGTGCCGAGTGTGTGTTAAATGCTCTCCTACTTGTTGCTTTGGATAAAAGCGTCTGTTAAATGAGACGTAGATTATTCCCAGCAGGCACACAACGTCATAAGACGTTGATATTTGGTTAAATTTTGGTTGCGACGTCGGGTGACCAAAATGCAATGTAAATTCAACATGTCAATGTTAAATTGATGTCCAATACCGAATACATTGATTTAGGTTTTATTGATATATTTTTTATAAAATGTCTGTTGTATAAAATTACTGTAGGCTAGATGTAATCTGTTCTGTACTCATTGAACACTTTTTTTTGGTCCAACTGTTAAGTGAGATAAAAGTTATTGTTCAAGTGTAGTTTAACTGAAATATTGTAAATATCATAAAATATCTTTATTTCATAAAAATAAAGTATATATGTCCACAGTTGTCTGAAAGTCCCAAGTCCTGCAATATTTTTTTATTTCGAGTATGATTTCACAAAAATAGGTTGCTGTAAACTATCATGGCATGTTCCCAAAATTGGCACTAGGGTGCTGTAAAATGCCAATTGCTATTCCATCTAGAATTTATTATTATGAACATCACCTTTCAGTCCCTCCAGAAAAACGCGATTATGCAATCGCATGATTCAATAATCAGCCAAAGTCTGCATATTTATGCGGGGGCATTTTTTCAAATACGCCGCACTTTTGCCGTATAAATTGCCGATTTCCACGCAAAATATGCGGGGCTTGTAAGATTTCATAATCCCCGCATTTTTGTTGCAAAAAAAAGTCAAATATATCTTAGCAGAAAGTTGAAAAATGTTGCGTTTGCTTCACACGAGAGCAGCCGTTTCCCCCGGTTGCCATGGGAACGTTATGAAGTGACGTAATTACTCGACATGAACATCATTGAAAAAAAAATGGAAAAAAAAGCTGTAAAACAGGAAACATTTTTTTCATATTTTATTTATTCATTTTTACAGAAGTTGTAGCATATTACTTTTGTAAAGCTACAGAACTTGTTTGACTCATCAATGTTTTGTAAGTTTGAGCCATGTGTTTATTAAGGTCTGAAATAAAACAAGATTAAATATTCCAGCACTTTCTGTGATGTAGTATGTTTGCTTATCATAGGAAGTAATAAGAAATAGCTCTTTACATTAAGGTAGTAGCCTAGTGAGAACAGGGTGTTGGGGAATCACTTTTTCATCAAACCGCAGTTTTTGCAAGTTCCCGCAATTTCATCACATAAAATTGCAAATATCCTGCATATTCCATCGCCGCATAATCAAGGATTTTTGCCCGCAACAATCACAAAAAAACTCGGCATTTTTCTGGAAGGACTGACCTTTGGGTCACATCACCACACCATTTTGTCCCCCCCACTTTTATAATGGCTGCTACGCCCCTGCACAAGGGTCTGAAGTCCGAACTATGTGATGCAGATATTATAAAACCATTCAAATAAATTATTTTTTTTATTATATCAGTTGTTAAGATTAAAGACTTGAGTCGTTTTTGAGTCGACTTGAGTCGTTTGGTCGAGTCCGAGTCAAGTCTGAAGTCTATTAAAATGCAACTCGAGTCCAAGTCTTGAGTGCCTATCTCTGGCATGTGCATGACGTCATTTTCTTCAGAGATTCGCGTTTTTGTTGTTTACACAGAGACTTAATTTTACACTGTTTAATAATTTGTGCTGCTGAGACTTGCAAGCGGCCCCTTTAATGTGAGCTATATGCTGACAGATTAATTTTTCTTTGTATGATGTATGTGCCGTTGATAAATACGTTGAAAAAGAGAGAAAAAAAGATGTGAAGTTTGATCTTGATAAAACATACTAAAGTTTGTCCTTAGATCATATCAGGCTCTCAGGATATGACTGATACGTTGTGTGAAAGAGGAGGGGTTTTTTTCTGACACAGTGAGTCAGAGGAAATTGGCCACATCAGTTGCTTTCTCTGAGCACAGGTGCATTTCTTCTCTTGCTCTATAATCACTCCTTAACGCTATTTTTCCATCATGGACTGTGCTTTTGCCAACCTAGATGCTGCTGGTTTTCTACAGATTTGGCAACACTTTGATGCTGATGGTGAGAATGTAAAATGGTTTCAATTCTGCTTTCATATTTATATTTCCATATATTGTGAGTGTTGTGTTTAGATTTAAGTATTGTCTCTATCCGTATCTGTTCATAAAATTGTATTGATAAATGCTTTTCTGCAGATAATGGCTACATTGAAGGGAAAGAGTTGGATGACTTTTTCCTGCTCATGGTGAAGAAATTAGGCCCAGAGGTATGTTAAAACAAACTTTATATGATGGTTGACAGATCTGTAGTTTGTGCACATTTAAATAAGACTATACAAATAGATGAGTAAATTTATTGACAATTACTTATAAATCTAAATGTACATAAATTAATAATCTTTAGTAAACCAATGTTTGCTAATTTCATTACTGAAATTTATTATAAAGTGTGTCCAATACATTTTGGACTCGGCACCGGTATAATTGTTGTTGATGACACAGGTGTTATTGATTACATTGCTGACCTTTATGGAAGAACAACAAACACACTATTTTTGTAAATGAGGTCATCAGTTTTCTCTGGCTGTTTACACACTAGAATCTGTCCTCTCTTTTCTGCAGGAAGCTGACATAATAAAGTCAACAGCCATTTAACATCTGCTGATTTATTTAAAAATCGTTGTGGTACTAGAAATGTTTTTTTTTCTGTCATTTTGTTTCATTTTGATGGTTAATTCCACAGTTTATCACAGTTATAGTAACAGTAACGGTACTATTTTTTATAGAAACTATATGTGGCGAGCAGAACGAGGCCTGTGAGAAAACTGTGCGAGGCCGGTTGCGTGATTAATGATGAGCGACACCACTCACCGGTCTCGTGTCCTTTTCTCACAGCCCTCAGCCTCGTCCTGCTCACCACACTATAGTAATTGTAGTATAAAAAATGTACGCACATACACACTTGTGACTGAAATGATTTGGTCTCAGACTGGCACTCAGAAATTCAAATAACACTTAATTTTTCAGGAAACTGGTTAGACACATAAGATAAAAATACATGTTCTGTGTTTTCTACTGATTCTAAAACCCACTTCTGTAGTTAGATCTACAATGATCGTGTATATGATCTCCACAAATGTTTCGTAGGATAACTTTTGACTAAGTGTACAGTGTTACATTGTTTTTACACAATAGTAGTTCTGAAGTTGATATTGCTCTGTGAATAAGCTTTTATAAATAAATGATGAGCCAGATGTTCACTGTGTACCAGCATATCTTAAGGGCATCTCTATTGGTGCACAGGTGTACCAATCTAATGGCTTTGCTGAGTGATGTTGGGGAGCTTAATGAGAGGTAAATTATGGAAATTTGGTCATGGTAACCAGTTTGTTTTCTCTACTCTCCTTAGGATAAGATATCAAAGGGAAGCGTACAGCAGATAAAGAAGAGGTTCATGTCTGCCTATGATGTCACATCAGATGGACGCCTGCAGATCGAGGAAGTACATCACTTTTTTTTTTTACATTTCCCTTGAATTTTTTTTTTTTTTAGTCCTATATAGAAGTAAAAGCTGATATTTAAAAAAGAATATTCCTGTAATATAATAATTTGATGGAACTGGTAAAAATTAAGCATGAAAGAGGGAATACTAAAAACCCATGTTTTAAACACATGCCTTACATTCTGGCTACTTCTCTCTAATTATTCTTTCTGTGTGAAAAGAAAAACAAACAAACAGCTGAATTACTTTCTGCATGCATTGATGGCAGAGGTTTTCTGCAGCTGTTATCTATCTGCTTTATGGCTTCCGGCTGTTTCCAGCATGGTTGCACTAGTCAGATCAATGACATGAAAATTATTTGCTTTGTCATGTTAATGGTTGTTTTGCTTCCTTCACATATTTGTGCAATAGATTTGTAAGTAAAGTGAGGCTGGGGATGGTTGAAACACGGGATTAGATATAACTATTTCCAGCTGTCAGAGACGAGCTAGAACTACTATAGAAGTGCTATAATTAATGTGCTGTACAGAACCACATTGTTACTGAAATCAAATGTGTAGTTTCATAAGCACATTATAGATTTTGCAATTGAACAACTGATTATTTGGTGATAGCTGGTTTCATTTGCTACTGTTTCACCATGTAAGTATGGGCTGTAAAGCTGTATAGAACGTGTTAAATGGCTAGTCCACCCCCCAAAAATTAATCATTCACTCCCTCTTATGTTGTTCTAACCTGTATGAGTTTTTCTTCACTGGAACACAAAAGATGTTTGGTAAGATAATAAAGCTTTTTATTTGTATACTTTGTCTTTCCATTCCTAATAAATAATTCAAATAAAATTATTTAAACATCAAATAATAATATAAAAATATTAATAAATAAATAGATAAATAAAAATGGAGGATTATATGAAAAAAGTAATTAATGTAATATATATTCCTTTATTTTATAACATATTCTTTGATTTTAGAGGTGCCCTTGTCTTTTTAAACTGTATACTTTTGCTCTTCATTTCATATGTTATCGTCTCCATTGAATGTACTTTAGAACCTAAATCTTACCAATCATTTAAAACTGGGGATTCTTTTTTTAACCTTTTTATTGATTTAAAGGGATACTGCACCGTTTTTTTCACATTAAACTGTTATTCCCTTAACTAAGTTGAGTTAATACATACCTCTCTCGTCTCAGTGCGTGCACTAAATCGCTCTGTCTTGCGGCGAAACTTTGTTAGCACTTAGCTTAGCCCAGTTCATTCATTAGGATCCAAGCAGAGAAGTGACCAAACACCTCCACGTTTTCCCTATTTAAATACAGTTACACGAGTAGTGTAACTCGACCAAGAATGGTGACACAAAATAAAACATTGCGCTTTTCTAAGCGTGTAAAGTGGATAACTATAACGTATGGCGGAATACCATAGCAAGTGCTTGGGAGCACATCGACTCGGCGCATATATATATCCATGGACTCGGCGCAGTAATATCATCACTCCGGAAAGGGAGAGGGGGGAGAGGATTTTTCACGAGTGATGATATTACTGCGCCGAGTCTAATTGCTCCCAAGCACTTGCTATGGTATTCCACCATACATTATAGTTATCCACTTTACACGCTTAGAAAAGCGCAACGTTTTATTTTGTGTCAGCATTCTTGGTTGAGTTACAATAATCGTAGCGCATGCTGATGACATTTTATTCTTCTATACTAACTTGAGTTGTAGGTAGCCTACGATTTAATAGGTGTCATCATCTTACAGTCTTTGGCTGCGTCCGAAAACTGATAAATGCTGCCTTCGGGGGACGCATTCCAAGGTCAGAAGGGATCAAGGCATGTCCGAATGCAATGTTAGTTTCACTTCCTGTCTCCTGAGATGCCTTCATCTGATTGATTTTTGAAGGCAGCATAGATGTATCCTTCACTACCTTTGATATCCCACAATCCTGTGCTTTCCATTCTGTGACAGTTGAGCTAGAAAAATAAAGATGACGCCTTAACCCTCAATTTATCTTTGGGGTCTATATGTAGTTCTACATTATCTATCTATACACACAAAACAAATGGGCTTGATTTGGTTGTTCTAAAGGTATGTAAAAAAAAAAAAAGTCACACTCATGACCTTTGGGGTCAATATGACCCCACATTGAAATGAATGGGAAAATCGAATTTTTTAAATGTTTTGTTTATTTTACATTACTCAAAAAAAAATCATTAAATCCTTATTAAATCTGAAATTTTCAATACCGCAATGAAGTCCTGGTACTAGAGGCCAAATGCAATGTGGAACGAACATAATCACTTGCACACACACGTGCACAAGCACACAAACACACACACACACACACACACACACACACACACACACACACACACACACACACACACACACACACACACACAGGTGTGACTCCAATAAGCATTTTTATAGAAATTGGCAAATAAAATCAATAATTCCAGCATAAATCTGAAAATTCTCACACATAGGCCTGGTACTAGATCACTAATACAATGTGGAACATTATCACACACACATGTGCGCCTACACAGACACAGACTCAAATGCACACACAGATAGAGAGAGGTGGGACTGCAATATAGAGCATTTTTATAGAAATTGGGAAATAAAATCAATAATTTCTGCATAAATCTAAAAATGTTCACACATAAATGAAGGTATGGTATGAGAGCACAAATGCAATATGGAAAGAACATGACTACACACAGATTACATACACACAGAGAGACACACACAAACAATCAGGTGTGACTGCAAAAGAGAGCATTTTTATTGAAATTGGCAAATAAAATCAATAATTCAAGCATGAATCTAAAAATGTTCACACATAAATGAAGGCCTGGCACTTCACTCCTGTTCCTATCCGCCTATAGCTGTTTGTTTTTTGTTTTTATTTACTTTTTAAAAATTAATTTCTTATTCTGAAGTTAATCGTTTCATACATTTCTATTATTGAAATATGTAATTGCAAATCCAATATTTTCTTTTAGTGGCAACTTATGTGGCATTACTGCAAATTTATAAAGCATTATTGCAATAACAAGATACTTCAAAAGACCTCAAACGACAACAAAAATAATTCTAAACTTTGACAAAATACTGATTTAATGTATTTTAAAATGTTTAAATATATATATTCATAACAAAAGCTGTTATAAGAGCAGTAAGTCACATCCAGAAAAATGAATGGATCTCTATGGGGCCTCCGCTGGAAGTATATGGTAATCACAATTTCTGGCTAAAACTATATTATCTACAAAAAAACATCTAACCAGCAGATGGCAGAATTATGCATCTAACACCTTTATAAATATCCAGAGACAACTCATATTTAAATTTGATCATCATTAATGAAGAAGTAAACAAAAAAATTATATATAATTTGTATTATTAAAATGAATATTGTTTTTGTACAATAGCTCTATACATGTTTGGGGTCATATAGACCCCAAATGCACTGAGTGTAAACAGGAAACTGAGAGCATATGAGAGTAGCGGCTGGTCATCAGTTTGTGTAAATGTAAATTTTTGATCAACGTTTGCCACCTATGATGTCATTTCTAAACCGTTACGCTGCCTCAGAAGTCTGTCTGAAATCAGTTTTGTGAGGTACCTTTTGTGTGCAGATGCTGCCTGCAAAGTCATTGCCTGATAGGGCAGCGAGGCAACAAGTCAGCTGGTTAAGTTTTCGGATGTAGCCTATGTCCTATATGTCATACCCAAGTTTATTAGAACCATGTCTAATAGATCCAGTGTGATTTATTATGATCTTATAGGATTGCCAAAAAAGCAGTATGTAGCAAGCATAAAAGTGCATGCACACTTGAGTTTTGTTTATTAACCAATTAATCCTATAAAATTTGGATGTTTATAAACGGCCGAACTGGCCCCAAACCAGACCCAATTTTGTCCAGCCGCCTAAACCAATTTTTATCGGCACAAATTCAAAATCGCCCAACCTGGCAACACCTGGGTATCTATGTATTTTATGTCTATGGCTTTCCCTGCTCGATGTAATGCCCCATTTGCCAGCAATCCAATGAGAATGCAGAACAATGATGACAACTGAGTGCAGGCGCCAAAGCTGTTGTGGAATCTCCGCTTACCCGAAACCCTCCATAACTGGCACAGAATCCCATATTTAAAGAAAGTTACAGTCGTTTGGCAAATAAATAAGTGACAGACAGTTACATACGTATTACTAACATTTTATTGTGCAAGTTTTACGTTACACCTCAAATGATAAGGAATAGTAATTCATTATCGAGTCCACAAACACATTCTCTCAATTGGCTTGGGTATGCAGAGCATTCAAAGCTTATGGATTGCACGCCCCTACTTTTGTATCTGTGTATGTTTCTGTGTAGTCTTGTTTTCCCCTTCCAGGCAACAATACACAAACGAGGACATTTACTCATAAAATATTAGGACAGAGAATTATTCAGGAAAATAGTATACAAAAAGGCAAGGGTATTGGTAATAAATAACCTGATGATAAAACTGGCAAAAAAAAACTTAAACAAAACAACAAACAAAGAGGGACCTGAGCATATCAAGAGACCAAAATATCATAGACTTGGGCCAGTAAGAAACCACCTAGCCTTCATCTAGAGCACCCTAGTTATCGTATCTAACACTAGGGCATATGGGCAAAAACATTGGTATGACATCTGCCTTGGATTTAAGGAAGTAATTCACTTTTATGAGTGGAGACATAATTGATTTCAGTATGATTAAACCCCTTTATTTGCTGGTACTAAACAGTAAACGTCATTTGTGTGTGTGTGCATGTGTACTAGATGGCGAATATGATCCTGCCCGACGATGAGAACTTCCTTCTTATCTTTCGTAGAGAGGCTCTGTTAGATAACAGTGTGGAGTTTATGAAGGTAACCTTTCACTTCACATAATCACACTTTCATTTCACTTTTCCATTTTAAAAAGTTTCCACATTTTCCATGATAGATCTGGAGGAAACATGATGCTGACAGCAGTGGTTACATATCAGCTGTGGAGCTCAGGGTAAATGCACATACATGACTCACAGGGAGATTTATACTCCAAGCGTAATTAGAGGGTTGGACTAACAATATAATGTTTTATAGTAGATGTAAGAATGAACATTAAAGGTTCTCTAAGCAATCCTGGGTGACGTCACTTCTTGTTGACGTTCGAACTATTGTCAAACAAAACGGAGGCTAGCTAGACCCTCCCTCCTCCTCATCCGCACACTAACCCCCCAAACCACACCCCCAAACCCTTCTTGTCGGTCATTGGCTGGAACAGTTTGTTATGTTTCGGGGAGCGGGTCGCCGCAGTTTGTTTTTGTTGCTGTTTGTGGAGCCTGGGCTGTCTACAGAGATCGCGTTTCTTTACAGTGTGTTCAGGGGACAGGCAGGCAGCGGATAGTGAGGAGATGTTTGCTGTATGTGACAAAAAATGTTTTGGCCTAAAAAACGCGTGACATCGCTTAGAGCACCTTTAAACATGAATTTTAAAGCATGTTTTGAAGCATGTTTAACTTGATGTCAGCTCACGTTTCTCCTCAAAATGTTCTTGTCAAGAATGGTAACAACGTACTCGGTTACTGACGTAACCTCGGTTCTCTCGAGAGAGGGAACGAGTACTGCGTAATAGCTTTACGCTATGGGGAAAACCTCTTTTCCACGAGATATTGAAGCCAAAAATTATCCTTAATTTTTTATTAATGTAAAACGCTTTGCAGCAGCAAGCAAACATAGGCGAGACAGCTTGCGCGCCTATCGGCTGCTCTTGCGGCAAATGCAGCAGCCTATCGAGAGAGACTCTGCGTGACGTTATGACCAATGGGGGCAATTCGCGCCCATATCGTCACGTCCCGCCAGAAAAGGCGTGGTCTCGCCCTATAAATAAGCTCGGTAGGCTGGTACAAGCTGGTTTTCATCGCCGAAGCGAACCAGAGCGTATTCCAAGCACGGCAAGATACGCAGTACTCGTTCCCTCTCTAGAGAGAACCGAGGTTACGTTAGTAACCGAGTACATTCTCTAACGAGAGTATCTCTCGTACTGCGTAATAGCTTTACGCTATGGGGAACACAATGCAACACGCCGTGCGTACAGGGATCCAACACCAAAGTCCCAGGGGCCGAAACCCGGGGCTTATATAGTGCATAATCACCATAAACTCACATAGAGTGGAGGAAGAGAGGCTGGAAGCATCATTCCTTATAAAATAGCACCCAAAGGGGCTATCATATGACAATTAAACGTGCCGCCAGGGTGAAAGCTTTCAGCCTGATCTGGGTGGCCATACGTGTGTCAACACTCATGGGGCTGCAGTAAACTCAGTATCTGGGCCGCACAGCGGGGCAGATAGCACTGAATTCTAGACCGCCAAAAGCTTAGCTTGTAAGGCGGGTACCTCCAGGTTATAGTATTTTATAAATGTAGACGGCGAGGCCCAGCCCGCGGCCGTACATATATCTTGCAAGGTAACCCCGCTAGACCATGCCCACGAAGAGGCCACGCCTCTCGTGGAGTGCGCTCTGACACCCAAGGGGCACTGCAGGCCCTTTGCAGTGTAAGCGAGCGTAATGACATCCACTATCCATCTGGATAGGCTCTGTTTTGAGGCGGCAAGTCCCTTGGAACGCCCGCCAAACAAAACGAAAAGCTGCTCAGTCTGTCTGAAACCAGACGAGCGCGACACATAAGCTCTTAATGCCCTGACGGGGCAAAGGAGACTCGCGTCTTTCTCCTCATTGAGAACCGGAAGGGCAGACAGGGAAATTACCTGGGCCCTAAACGGTGTATTGAGGGATTTCGGCACGTACCCGTGCTTAGGTTTGAGAATAACTTTCGAGTCATTAGGCCCAAACTCCATACATGACGCGCTTACTGAAAGCGCCTGCAAGTCCCCTATGCACTTCACTGAAGCGAGAGCCGTGAGAAACACTGTTTTGAAAGACAGATGTTTCATGTCCGACAGCTGGATTGGCTCGAACGGGGCGCCTTTCATGGCCTCCAGGACCGTGGAAAGGTCCCACGTCGGGACTGAAGGGGGCCTGGGAGGGTTTAGCCTCCGAGCTCCCCTAAGGAAACGCACGACTAAGTCGTTCTTCCCCAGCGACTGGCCAGACACCGGTTTTGCACACGTTGCTATGGCCGCCACGTATACTTTGAGCGTGGATGGGGTCCTGCCCTTATCCAGTAGCTCTTGAAGGAAGGAAAGCACTTCCGAAACCCCGCAGTCCACAGGTGAAAAGCTCTGGGCTTGACACCACGCAGAGAACACAGACCATTTCGAGGAGTAGAGCCGCCTGGTAGACGGAGCTCTAGCCTGCGCGATAGTGTTTAACACTCCCTCTAGGAGGCTAGCGGGTACCCGTTGATGGCCCATGCGTGCAGGGACCACAGCTCCGGGCGAGGATGCCAAATCGAGCCCTCCGCCTGAGAGAGGAGGTCTCTCCTCAATGGTACAGGCCATGGGGCAGTGCTGGTCAGCTGCATCAGGGCAGGGAACCACGTCTGGTTTGTCCAGAGCGGCGCCACGAGCAGCACTGGGCATCCGTTTTCCCTGATTCGTTCCAACACTTGAGGCAGGAGCGAGACGGGAGGAAAAGCATATAGGGGACAGCGGGGCCAAACATGAGCCAGCGCGTCCTTGCTTTTCGAGAAAAACTTCGGGCAATGAGCGTTTTCGTGGGACGCGAATAGGTCCACCTGTGCTCTGCCGAACGTTTTCCACAGCAGCTGGACCGTCTGCGGGTGCAGCGACCATTCCCCTGCTGGGACATTGTTTCTGGACAGTCTGTCTGGTCCCACATTCAGGTGACCAGGCACGTGCGCTGCTCTTAGTGAGAGCAGGTTGTGCTGAGCCTAGACCAGGAGGCGTTCCGTCAGCCTGTGAAGGTTTCGTGACCTGACGCCGCCCTGGCGATTTATGTATGCCACCACTGACATGTTGTCCGACCCGACCAAGACGTGGTGGCCTGTTACCTGGGGACAGAAGCGCCGTAGCGCTTTGTCGACTGCTATCATTTCCAAGCAGTTTATGTGAAGGAGCTTTTCCCGTTCTGACCACAGGCCAGCTAGCGGTCTGCCCTCGAGCAGCGCTCCCCACCCCGAGGTGGAGGCGTCCGTAGACACCACCTTCACACTCGAAGCGGTCCCCAGACTCACACCTGACTGATACCAGTCGGTTATTTTCCAAGGTTCCAGAGCTGAAACGCACTGTAGGTCGACCCTGAGGCGAAACAGACCCGCTGTCCATGCCCTGGGTGGAACCCGCGCTTTCAGCCACATCTGCAGTGGGCGCATGCGGAGCAAGCCCAGCTGGAGTACAGAGGCTGCTGAGGCCATTAGACCCAGCATTTTCTGAAACCTTTTGAGCGAACCTATCGAGCCGTGGCGGAAGGATTTCGCAACGTGCTGAATATTTAGTCCGCGCTCCGGTGACAGGCATGCCGTCATGGATAGCGAGTGTAACACTGTTCCCAGAAAGGAAATTTTCTGACTGGGAGACAGTGAGCTTTTCGCCCAATTGACTGTAAGGCCCAGCTCCTCGAGGTGCTCGAGTAATGCGGCCCTGTGTTCTATGAGCTCCGATTGTGATCGAGCTAGAATCAGCCAATCATCCAAGTAGTTCAGGACTCGCATGCCCTGAAGTCTCAGGGGTGCGAGCGCCGCGTCCATGTACTTCGTGAATGTACGAGGTGCTAGAGACAGGCCGAACGGCAGGACAGTGTATTGATATGCCTGGCCCTCGAAGGCGAATCTCAAGAATCGCCTGTGATGGGACGCTATTTGTATTTGGAAATAGGCGTCTTTCAGATCTATTGACATAAACCAGTCCCCGTGGCGCACTTGCGCAAGGATTTTCCTGGTCGTAAGCATTCTGAACTGGCGCTTCACAAGCACTCTGTTCAGCTGTCGCAGATCTAAAATGGGTCTGAGACCCCCATCTTTTTTCGGTACCAGAAAATATCTGCTGTATAGGCCCCCTTCGCTCTGAGCCTGAGATAAAGGTTCTATAGCCCCTTTGCTCAGTAGTTTCGCTATCTCGGCACGAAGTAGATGAGACACTTCGTTTTTCACCGCTGGATTTATCTGGGTAGCCGTAAAAACGGCTTTTGTGCGCAGGCAAGCGGGCTGAGACACCGGCTGGCTCACTGCGAAATACACTGGGACAGTCACAACGCTTGGAACTGACCGAGCGAGAAGTTTTGGTGGAAATCCGGCCGCAGCGGGATCTGAACACCGTCGCTTTCCTAGAGTGGCTAGGAAGGCTTTGAGGCCTCGGGCTTGATCTCAATCCTCGGCCGGGGCCCGCGCTGAGGGAGGCGGCGTCCAGCAGAGCGAGAGCGCGGTCTTTGGTCTCGGGCCTGGCGGCGCTGTGAAGCGGCGGGCGGTGCAGGTTGCGGCTGAGAGCTGCGAGCAGACGGCTGTTCTGAGCGGCCTGCAGCGGAGCTCGAGCGCTTCGGAAGGAAGTGCTTCATAGCCTGCGAAGTCTTCTGCACTTCCATGAATCTGTCCGCGAAATCCTTGACGGCAGATCCGAAGAGGCCCGCTGACGAAATGGGCGCGTCGAGGAACACAGAGCGCTCGGCTTCCGTCATCTCGGACAGCGTCAGCCATAAGTGTCTCTCAGCCACGGTGAGAGAGGCCATATTCCGTCCTATGGCCTGTGCAGCGGCTTTAGCAGCGCATAGAGCGAGGTCTGTAGCGCTTCTCAGATCCGCCACGCAGATCGCTTCGGGCCCTTCCTCGTCCAGTTTAAGGAGAAGGTCGGCCTGGAAGATCTGCAGGATAGCCATAGTGTGCAGCGCTGAAACTGCTTGCCCGGCGGCGGTGTAAGCGCGCCCGTGCATGGCTGACGTCACTCGGCAGGCTTTAGATGGGAGCGTCGTCTGAGCGCGCCGTCCAGCGGAGGGCGGGCAGAGATGAGACGCTACAGCTGGTTCCACAGGAGGAACGGAGAGGTACCCTCTGTCCTTCGCACCATCCACCGTGGAGAATGCAGCAGAGGCAGAGGTACGCAGCCTGGCGGAGAAGGGGGCGTTCCACGACTTAGTCACTTCCGCGTGTAGTTCAGGGAGGAAGGGCGCGGGCCTTGACTTTGACGGAGCTTCGTCTTTTCCGAGAAAGCGTCCGTCCAGTCTGTTCCGCGGCGGTTGCGCGGGCGCCTCCCAGTCGAGGCCGATGCTTTCCACGGCTTGAGAGAGCAGACGCATCAGCTCAGTCTCAATGCCGGCTCTCTTCCCAGTGGATTGGCGGGAAACGCTAGCGGGGGGAGGTCCACGGAGCTCGCCCAATCCTCGCTATCAGATGCCAGAAGAGAACACGCCTCGGTGGGTTCGTCGAACTCGTGGCCGGACACGGTGGCAGACGGCAGCCGTTGTCCGTCAGTGAGCGACTCGAGCGAAAACGGCGAAGCTGGCGGGCGAACCGGCGAGCTTTGGCGGGCTGGAGAGTGCTCGGGAGTGCGCTGGGCGCGGCGCTTCTTGCGGCGCGGCACCACGGCGGGCTGTGGTGAAGGCTCGGAGAATGACGCCAGGCGAGTCCTCAGAGTCACCATAGACATAAGCTCGCAATGAGGGCATCCGCGGCACGAGCCACAGGATGGCATCTTTAAAAAGACGCAGCTCTTTTGTGATGAGAAGTGCAAGTCGCGTCACGTAAGCGAGCTAACACTCTCAGCAGATTAAGGATAAAAAGGATATAGAACGCCGGAAAGCGCAGCAGGTACGGCAGTTGAAGGCGACTCCAGAAGCTCGTCCCGCTGAAAGGCTTGCGTCGACGGCGCGGCTTCTCACTCCGGATCCAGCGATGCGTACGCTTTGCTGAAGAGATGAAAATCAGCTTGTACCAGCCTACCGAGCTTATTTATAGGGCGAGACCACGCCTTTTCTGGCGGGACGTGGCGATATGGGCGCGAATTGCCCCCATTGGTCATTACGTCACGCAGAGTCTCTCTCGATAGGCTGCTGCATTTGCCGCAAGAGCAGCCGATAGGCGCGCGAGCTGTCTCGCCTATGTTTGCTTGCTGCTGCAAAGCGTTTTACATTAATAAAAAATTAAGGATAATTTTTGGCTTCAATATATCGTGGAAAAGAGGTTTTCCCCATAGCGTAAAGCTATTACACAGTACGAGAGATACTCTCGTAAGAGAACTGACTTTTTCTCATAAGTTAACCGTCTTCTGTTTCAATACTCTCACAAAGCACCAAGCACCAAATTGATTCCAGAAATGTGACAACATCTTAATCATAGATTATCAATAGATTCCGCAATGTAATGATCAATTTTGATAGAAGTTTTTTCTCAATGTGCAAAATGGTACACACAGGAAGGTTTTTTTCTTCAAAAGTCACTTTAGGGGCTATGTACTATTCTCATCACAATTTCATAAAAATATTTCAATAATTTCTTTCTCTTACCTTCTCTTTTCTGTTTTGTTTTAGTCTAGTCATCATAATTATAAAGATAAAATGTCTCTTTTTCATGGCAGGGTTTCTTGAAGGACCTGTTTGAGCAGCACAAAAAGAATATTTCCTCAAACAAGTTGGAAGAATACACAGATGCCATGGTAACATTGTTATTTTCAATTATGCACCATACATTTATTTTAGTTGTATAAACCTAAACTTCTCAACTATCCATATCTATCCATGCTTCTTAAATTGAGCTCATGTTTCATGTTAGTCTCGGTTTCAATATGTTTTTGGTTGCCAATTGAAATAATCTAATGCAAAAAATAATACACATGCATTCAAAATAGGCAGTCATAAACTCACACCCGTCGCTATGGGCGGGCCATAGGGGGCCGGGCCCGCCCGCAAAAATGCTTGTGCCCCCCCCACCCCAGGCACATTTTTTTTTTTTCTTAAAAAAATTACTTTAATTTTATATTATAATAGTTGCATTCTTTATCATTAAAACATTAAAAATATATAACGAAACAATGGTGTGATTGTGTTTGATTGATGGGAATCTACACTGCAACAGCCTATCACGGCCTCACTAAAAAGAAAGTTAGGATACGTACGTGACGTATCACGTCAGTGTAGCCGCTCAACAGTTACCGCGCATTTTAAAGCTATAGTCAGATGAGTTTTCGCCGGCTTACTACTCGCTTCAGTTCGTCTGGAGAGAGGACAGCGCTGCCTCCACTCAAAGTACCGGTAGGTTCAAAGTCTCTGTGCGTGTGTGTGCGTGCGACCGTGCGTGTGTTAGGGATGGGCAAATAATTAAAAAAAGAGTTAGTAAATGCGCTTAAACTTCCAAAAACCTGTAGAGTAGTGGTCTGGGTTCAAACAGTCCAACACACAAAGTGAAGCATTAACGTGACTGGAAAGAAAGTGAGGCTTCGTTTTTCGTTGATCACGTGTTTCTCTGAAAACAATACGCGCTCCGGCACAGAGCTTCATGAGAAATTGCGCTGCGTACTCGATACGCGCTTTGAAGCTTCAGCCGCGTTTCCATTACCCTTCAAATTGCGCGAATTGAAATTACGCTCAATGGAAACACGTCAATTTCGCAAAAACTCCCATTTATCGCAAAAAAGTTTTTACGCTCGCATGAGGAGGTTTTTCAGGCAATTCGAAAAAGGAATATTTCGCAAAACTGCAATGGAAACAGTTTTTGCGCATTTACAGTCACCTGACTTAGAATACGCGGTGTGTTTGGGGTCCGTGGTATACGCAAATAATTATAGGCTAATAATTATCATCCTTATTATAACATTTATTAGGCTATATATTTAGAAGATGCTTTTATCCAAAAAAAAGGAACAAAGCAATTAGTCAAATGTCATTCATAATGGTTAGACAATAATAATACAGGGCTAAGATTATCACAAATAAACACAAGATTTTGACGCATATCCAAGTGTTTGTGCAGAGTGTGGAGCGTGCTGCAGGCAGGGAGACGCGGGCGCGAACACTTGCGTTTTCCTATCAACAGTGGAAACAACTTAAAATACTCTATAATTTCTGGTCATACAGAAAATAATAATACATTATTCGCGCAACTATGCTTTTATTTGTGTAAACTCACAATAACAAGAAAACGTTGTGCTTTTGTAAAATAAAAGAAAACAATCATGCGCGCTTTCATGATCTCCGTGAACTGTAGCGCGAGAACTGAAACAAAGTATAGCCTATGTAGGCTAAAGCTTGAAATTTCCACTTTAAAACAAACAAATTCGAATCGAAAGCTAATACCTTCTGATTATGTAATCCGTATGAAAGGTGCATTTCTCTCTAAAAGTGCATTCGCGCGGCGCGCCTCAGCGGAGATGGAGATATGTTTTTAGCCGACACTAATTTAGAAAACAATAGTTTATTAATAAAATTAAAATGCCTCGTTATTCTTTCAGACACATTTATTGTCATTAGCCTATAACTCACCTAAAGACACCTTTCTGTAGGCTGTGGTTCCAGAGACATAGGCCTAAATATGGCTCTTCTCATTCAGCACTGCGGGAAAAATATAATTTTCAGGTTCTAATTTGGCCTTAGAAAACCATTAAAATCTACTTCTTCTTTTTTTGTATTAAGTTGTGAATATTTTAAATGTTTAATAAAGGGGCAAAAAGTCATAAACAAACATCTTAAATTTAGTCTTTTTTTTTTTTTTTTTGCGCAGCATTTGTGTACAGTTCAAATTTGAAAAAAATTGGTGTTCAACTTTGCATTTAAAAAAAACAACCACCGTTCATTTTACGTTTTGCAATACGGGTTAAATAAGGAAAAACGAATGGACACATGCAAATGTACACTGACCGTTTGTACTTTGGACAGAGTTCTTTATTAAATTCATAAAAGAAACAATAGGCTACAGGAATACTGGATTCTAAACCTCAAAGAAATGCCACAATCAGACCTCGGAGCAGAAATGAGGGAGAAACACCCAGAAACTCCTTATGCCGTTCGCAGTATACGGGTCTTTCCCTGCCATTAATGCTTGGATAACACACCACGTCTCCTTCTATTAATAATAATGTCTATTGTGGTGGTGGCTGTGATTTAGGGATATAGGCTATAAACCTACCCGTTGATGTTTAAATGACTTCGCGAGAGGGAAAAAAGGACGTTGTAGTCGCATAAAATCAGTAAATGGAAACGCCGTCATTTCGCAATAGTTTTTTATCGACATTTAGAAAAAATCGCAAAAGTTTTGCGCAAATCTGTAATGGAAACGCGCTAAATGTCAGATGTAACATCAGTGTGTGTGTGTGTGTCTCATTGGCAATGCATATCCCTCTGTTGACTGCTTCAAAATGCAATGTTTTAGAGAAGCTTCTGGACTGGTGTTACATCTAATATGTTGTATAGTCAAGTATGTTATGGTTATTCATAACATTGCTTCTATGTAATGTGGTGTAGGCTATAGGCTACCTGGTCATAAAACTGTTGGTTATGTTTAACGTGACGATTACGTGCTGCGCGAATAGAGTATACGATTATTATACATATACGTAGGCTAATAATAATTGTGCCCCCCTTAAGACTGAGGTCTGGCGACGGGTCTGCATAAACTACCGCTTTAGAGATAGATTTCTCTTTAGGGGTAGTTTCTCCCAAGCATTGAGTGAATTAATCAATAAACCTAATTGTAAAGGACATTTAACCTTTAAAACGCATTGCTTGATACATTCAATATACCCTCTTTATATTTAAGCACTGAATATTTAAACTGAAAATAAAATCACAATTTCATTATTTAAAAATCAGTATGTCACGACTGGCAAGCAAGGAAGAGGAGATAATGTTCTGTTTGCAGCTTAACACTTTATTTACAAAAGAAAACAAAGAAAGGTAATTCACAACTAAAAAAAGTGCAACAGCTTTACAATCAACATGTAAATACAATACAGGACATGGAACTGAGAAAAATAAGGGTCAAGACAAGTCACCTTTATTTATAGTGTGCTTAAATACAGATTGTTTCAAAGCAGCTTTACAGTGATAACAGAAAAATACTGCAACAAAGGTTGTTTCGCCACAGCAGCTCAAGAAGAAAATAGTTTCATTTTCCAGCTTAAGTAAGTTAAGTGTTGATTTATTTCGGTTGAAAAATCATTAGTTATTAATTAAGTTCAGTTATCTATACAGCAGCTCTGGAGAAAACAGTGATGTCATTGTCCAGCTCAGTTCAGTTCTCATCCATTAGTGTCAGTGCATTCAAGTCAATAATATTGCAGAATATTAAGTGTCCCCAACTAAGCAAGCCAGAGGCGACTGGCAAGGAACCCAAACATCAGGTGACAACCTGATGAAACCTTGGGGGAAACCAGGCTTAGTCGGGGGGCCAGTTCTCCTCTGGCCAACAAACGAACAGTGTATGATTATGATTCAGGCAGCATTATAGGTCAGAAGTCAGATTGGAATCGGAACATTAAAAATATTTATCCAGTTCCATCTGGTTGAAAATCAGATTCATCACCCTGGTATGGGACGGGCTTTGTTGAGGATCTGTGCCACTGGCTGTCTTGTCAATGAGGTCTTAACAAGGGAGAGTCTAGTTGACACAATCTCAGCTGACACTTCAGGGCTGCGCTATGGTCGTGTCTAGGCACAGGTCCTCCATCTGATCTGGATACGGCCCGGATCCGGCTGACTACGGTAATCTCAAAATAAACAGAGAGACTAATATTAGAGTAGATGCCATTCTTCTTGTAATGTTACAAGTTCATCGGGTGTTATGGGAAGTGTTCCGGCTGACCTAGTTTATGGAGCCTAACAATCATTTAACTGATTTGAATTATAGAAATTGATAATGTGCTATGTGTATGCCAGGTAAAAGTGATTAGTCTAGATTTAAACTGACAGTGTGTCTGCATCCTGAGGAAGACTGTTCCAGATTATGTTCCAAAGAGGAAAATGATATATACCACCTGCGGTTGATTTTGATATTCTAGGTATTATCAACTGGCCATTTTGAGATCTCAATAGACTGTGAAGGACTATAATACATTAAGAGCTCGCTCAAGTACTTGGGAGCTAAACCATTTAGTGCTTTGTAAGTAATTAGCAAGATTTTAAAATATATACAATGTTTAATAGGGAGCCAATGCAGTGTTGACAGGCTAATATGGTCATACTTCTTGTTTCTAGTAAACATTCTAGCTGCTGCGTTTTGGATCAGCTGTAGTTTGTTTATTCAGCGTGAAGACAATAATCTAGCCTTGAGGTCATAAACGCATGAACTAGAAACATGGCTTTCAAATAAAAGATTGGTATCAAAGAGCACACCCAGTTTCCTAACTCACGACTAATACTTGACAGAAAAAATCCATCAAGTTTTAGACAGTATTCTAGGTTATTACGTGCAGAGGTTTTTGGTCCAGTAAGTATGAAGTATAAGTATGATTTGAACCACGCCAATGCAATTCCACAAATGCCAACATAATTTTCGAGTCTATTCAAAAGAATGTTGTGGTCGATGATGGTATCAAATGCAGCACTAAGATCCAGTAAAACTAGTAGAAAGATGTAACCACGGTACAAGATGGTAAGAGCAAATCATTTCTAGTGAGACTCTAATCAGACTCTAATGAGAGCTGTCTCAGTACTATGGTACAGTCTAAATCCTGACTGGAAATCCTTGCAGATACCATTTCTTTCTTAAAAGGAACATAGTTGTGATGATACTGCCTTTTCTAGGATCTTTAAAAGAAAAGATAATTCAAGAACGGCCTGTAATTGACTAATTCTGTAAGATCAAGTTGTAATTTTTTTTAATAAGCATTTTAATCATAGCCAGCTTAAAAGTTTTCGGCAAAAGAAAACTTTTAAAGATGAATTAATGATATTGAGAAGAGGATCTATGACCTCTGGAAGCATCTCTTTCAGTAGCTTAGTCTGTATAGGGTCTAACATACATGTTGTTGATTTAGATTTAATGAGTTTAGACAATTCTTCCTCTCCTATAGCAATGAATGAATGGAACATCTGGGGTTGAAGCTTTATTTCTCATTAATTTAGCCACTGTATGAAATAAATACCTGGGGTTGTATTTGTTTTCTTCTAAGAGGGTCGAGAAATATGCAGATCTAGCAGTTTTCAAGGCCTTTCTGAATGCAATGAATAGTGCTGTCTTTTAACGAAATGTGAAAAACTTCGCAGGTGGTTGGCAGGTGGTTGACACATGCGCTCTAGATAGTTTCATCTGTGTCCAGTGTCTGCGTCTTTTTTCTCTCCGGAAGTTGTGACCGATAAAAATGTCTTTGTATTCTTTTAAACAAAAGTTGCGGCTATCTCATAAGCCCCTCACACAAACGCTTCTAGATGATATCTAGATGATCCTTAGATACAAACCGCCTGTAAAGACCTTGTCGACTAGAAACCATGCGAACCAGGCAAGTCCTCTGCACAGACCCTTATGGCCATCTTCTCCTCTCCCACCGAATGCTGGCATAATGAATCCTGATCTTCAAGCAGAAGGAACTGGATGAAATTTTCTGAATATCAATTCACAATCTGACTTGTGATGCAGACTGGAATTAAACCACACCATGTTTGTTAGTCTGGCCAGAGGAGAAATGGCCCCCCGCCTGAGCCTAATTTCTCCCAAGGTTTTTTCTCCATTTCTATCACAGATGGAGTTTGGGTTCCTTGCCACTGTCGCCAAAAGGCTTGCTTAGTTGGGGACACTTAATATTCTGCAATATTATTGACTTGAATGCACTGACACTAATGGATGAGAACTGAACTGAGCTGGATGAACTGTTTCCCCCATAACTGCTTTATAGATGAATTAAACTCATTCCATAATTGATGAACTTTTCACAGTTATTAAATTGAATTGAATCAACACTGAACTTATTTCAACTTAATAATAACTGTTTAAAAGTACTATTGTCTTTTTAGAGCTGGTTTACAGTGGAATTGAATTGATACATGTTGAATCATGTTTTTTTCCTGTTTATCATTGTGAAGCTGTTTATCAATGTAAACAATCCGTATTGTAGAAAGCACTATATAAATAAAGGTGACTTGACTTGACCATCAGTCCTGGGTTTCGGCACCATTGTAGTATATTTTGTGAAGGAAAGAAGGATTGGGGCAGCGAGCCAGTTGTACTCAGTTTTATTTATTTTTTATTTTTTTCAAAAATAACCGAACAAAATAAAACTCAACAAAAAGCCAGCTTTTCAGCAGTATTCTCCAGTTCAATTTCAAGGTAAGTCCATTTGTCTTGTGCTCTCTCCTCAATCAAACACTGGAGTCGGCTTTATTCATTCTCTTCCCACTTACTGAGTGGAAACCGCTGTATTTATTACCTGACTCCCTACCGCTCATCCCACCACAGTCATGCTCACTTGGTGCTCGACCATGCCTCCTCCACCACACTCCCATAAAAAAACCATCACAAAGAATACTCTTAATGTGCCTTAATGCATTACAGTTTATTAATGAAAGGCGGAAGAAAGTTATTTTAGTTTATAAAGTTTTAAATATGTAAATAAAGTTTGGTTTATAAAGTTTAAATATTTTTTTTACACAAACCCATCTATTCACTTCAGAAGCCCTTAATTAACCCCCGGAGCTGTGTGGAGAACTTTTATGATGGATAGATGCACTTTTTTGGGCTTCAAAATCAGGACTGCCGTTCACTACCACTATAAAGCTTGGAAGAGCAATGATATTTTTTGATCTAACTCCGATTATGTTCATCTAAAAGAAGATGGTCATATACACCTAGGATTATACACCTAAGAATCATGGGGTAATTTTAATTTTTGGGTGAACAATCCCTTTAAAAGGAACTACTAAAGATGAGCATAACCAATGTTCATCACATATGCAGATTGATATTTAAAAGTTTTTTTTTAATTTTTCTTACTTAAAATCGGATATTAAAATGGAATAAAGTAGATAGGTTAGCTGAATACCTCAAGTCCATCAGTTCGGTCAGTTCAAAACCAATTTTTTTGAACCACATTATTATTTTTATAATTACACTAAATTAGCATGTTGAATTAACAGCACTATTATTATTATTATTATTATTATTCTTTATTTCAGACCATGGCTCCATATCAAAAAACATACAAACATAATTTCACCAACAACAGACAGATTTTAAAAAACATACAAGCTTTCATTCCACTGCTTCCAAAAACAGGAAAAATACCTTGTATCACTTAATGTAATATTATTTAAGACCATTATAATACTATTTTTTGAATCACTCAACCGACACGTGAAGTTGTACATATACTTCCGTAATATAGCATGCAAAGTAGGTACACTATTAGATACAAACATTTGGCTTGCACTTGTCCACCTTGGGACCTTGAGCAAAATTCTTAGCGCAATTAACTAACTAGAAACTATTATTTATCATACGACAGTACACAATCCTTTCCTGATCACAGCACCCAATGAAGCAAATTAAACTTTAAAAAAAGTATATACACCATCAGTGTATGGTACACTGCTCCGTTAGTGGCCAAGGTCAGTTTATAGTCCAAGTACACTCCAAAATGAATGATACTCCTCACCCAAGCCTCTCCTAAAGTGAGTAGTGTTTGGCTGGTCATGTAGTTTTTATAAGCATTTCATGTTAGTTCATTTCATGTCGGTGTACTACTTTTTTAACAGACTGTAGTGCAACATTTAGGTATGTTAAATTGACAATCTGTGTAAAATGACCGCAAGTACTCTTATTTATTTTTTCTTGTTAAAAAATGTTCAACCCTTTTCTAAATACGAACACTTTGTTTTTGTGTCTTTCAGATGAACATTTTTGACAAAAACAAAGATGGCAGATTGGATCTTAATGACCTGGCTAGGTGATGTGTGTTTAATGATAGCACTTTTGTACTGTACATGTGAAGTTGTTTAGGCATTGGTATTAAGAGTGAGTATGGGTGTTCGTGTTGTTGAAAGAGAGAGGCAAAGGCTCAGTGCCAATTGCATAAAGCACCGTTATGCTGCCATATTACTCCATTGATTAATATATCCACTATTAATATATTTCCAGACGTATGAAATCCGAACGCGCTGCCACAATGTTTTCATTGCCTGCCTTCTAATTTAACTGTATCTCCTTCCCAGAATTCTGGCTCTACAAGAGAACTTCCTGTTGCAGTTCAAAATGGATGTTAGTACTTTTTCTCTAATTTATTTAGAGTACTTTATCTCAATTTTTTCCCCCCTGCTTGTGACACTCAAATTTGATGATAAAGTGCATGATGCTGTCATGATTTCTCACCCTCCACAGGCCAGTAGTCAAATGGAGAGAAAGAGAGACTTTGAGAAGATCTTTGCTCACTATGATGTTGTAAGATTTTTTTAACCTTCAATTCACTTTGCATCAACCTGAGTAGACTAACGATTTATTACTTTATTAACAGTACGTCTTGTTTATTGTTGTGTATGAGTATCACATTAGATACTTATCCTGATGTTCCATCACTTAGTGGTTGGCTCTGATTCTAGAGTAAGACTGGAGCACTTGAAGGTCCAGAAGTGGATGGGTTTGTCAAAGACATGATGGAGCTTGTCAAGGTAAGTGATAGATTGTTGGAATGTAACTACCATACCTATACAGTAATAAACATCACATGTAATTAGGGACGTCCTGATCAAGTTTCTTGTGCCCCCGATCCGAGTTATTAAATATTGAGTATCTGCTGATACCATGTCCTGATCCAATACTTGAATTTTCCTAGTCCTTGATACACACTTCAAGTACATTAAAGTTATTAAAACCAATCCAATGTTTACTGGGCCATGCAGAGAGGTTGTCAAGGGCAGGGGCTAAAATGTAAAAAAAGGGGCATGTAAAAATTATGAGCCTATAATTTCTTACATCACTATGGAGTAATTTGAATGTAAAACACATCTAATTGTCCTTACAAAGGTTTAACCAGACATATATGGAGGACAGAGGGTACATCACACCACCAGGACTTAATAGAAAAATATTACGTTATTAACGATTGTAGCAAGGTTAGATGTTGTGGGAAGGAGGAGGCGGGAACCGGCAAACAATCATCATCGTGAGAGATAAGAGACTGGTGCGTTGCGCAGGTGTCGCTCATTATCAATCACGCCACAGGCCTCGCGCTATTCTCCCACGGCCCTCGGCCTCTTCCTGCTCGCCACAAAGATGTTGATCAAAAAAATAGAAACATTATTTAAATAAACATTTAAATAAGTACAACAAAAATCAACTTGCATGCACTCGCTAGGATAAACAGCGAAAAACGTGAAACTTCAGGACTGCACTGCACTAGACTTTTCCCGCCCCACGTGGCACAACATACATTGTGATCAAACTCAAATCATTTTATACAGTGGGTACTCTAGATCTAATATTATCACACAGAATCAATGTTAATGCCGTTGAAATTCTGCAGCAGAGCGATGACATCTCAGATCATTATCTAGTCTCGTGTAAACATTTAGCCAAGGCTGCAAAGCCGACTCCGTGTTACAAATATGTTAGACCTATCAATTTTGCCACTAAAGATTGCTTTATTAATAATCTTCCTGATCAGTTTCATCATCTCAGCATCCCAGATAGCTTAGAAGAACTCGATATTGCGACAGAAACTTTTAACTCTCTCTTTTCCAGCACTTTAGACACCGTTGCTCCGTTGCGCTTAAAGAAGATTAAAGAAAATAGTCCAACTCTGTGGTACAAGAGAGAAGCCAGAAATATGGAGGCTGGAAGAGAACAAAACTAGAAGTATTTCGTGTTTCATGGAAGGAGAGCTCGATTGCATACAGAGATGCCTTAAAAGCTGCAAGATCTGCTTATTTTTCAACCCTATTAGAAGAAAATAAACAAAACCCGAGGTATTTTTTTGAAACAGTGGCTAAACTAACGAAAAATAAAGCCTCAAGCCCAGAAGTTTCCAAGCAGCACAGCAGTAATGACTTTATGCACTTCTTTACTTATAAGATTGATAATATCAGGGAGAAAACTATAACTATGCAACCGTCTACTACAGTATGGCATCAGGGATTGCATTGTAGTCTCCCTAAGGAAAAATTCAATTCATTCATTACTAGAGGAGTGGAAGAATTTTTTGAACTCGTTAAATCATCTAAATCGACAACATGTATATTAGACCCTATACCAACTAAGCTAATGAAAGAGATGCTTCCAGAGGTCAAAGATCCTCTTCTTAACATCATTAATTCATCTTTGTCATTAGGATACATACCAAAAAGTTTTAAGCTGGCTAAACCGCTTGTTAAAAACCCACAACTTGATCCTACAGAATTAGTCAATTACAGGCTGATCTCGAATCTACCTTTTCTGTCAAAGATACTGGAAAAGGCAGTATCTTCACAACTGTGTTCCTTTTTAGAAAGAAATGATATCTGAGAGGATTTTCAGTCAGGATTTAGACCGTACCATAGTACTGAGACAGCTCTCATTAGAGTCACAAATGATTTGCTCTTATCATCCGATCGTGGTTGTATCTCTCTATTAGTGTTACTCGATCTTAGTGCTGCATTTGATACCATCGACCTCAACATTCTTTTAAATAGACTCGAAAATAATGTTGGCATTAGTGGAATTGCATTAGCATGGTTTAAATCATACTTATCTGACCGTTATCAGTTTGTAGCAGTAAATGAAGAGATGTCTTATCGATCACAAGTTCAGTATGGCGTACCACAAAGCTCAGTACTAGGGCCGCTGCTGTTCACTCTGTACATGTTACCCTTAGTCAGCCTTATATCATTAGGAAACATGGCATTAGTTTTCACTGTTATGCTGATGATACGCAGCTCTATATTTCTTCACGCCCTGGCGAAACTTACCAATTCACAAAATTAACGGAATGCATAGCTGATATAAAAAATTGGATGAGTAGTAACTTCCTACTACTTAATTCTGAAAAACAGAGATTCTAATTATTGGACAAAAAACTTCCTCACGTAATAACCTAGAAAACTGTCTAACACTTGATGGCTGCTCTGTCAAGTCTTCGTCGTCGGTTAGGAACCTGGGAGTGGAAAGTCACGTGATCTGTAAAACGATTGATTGATAATATCAGTCACGTGATCTGTCGGTTATCTGTAAAACCACATTTTTCCATCTTAAAAATATATCTAAATTACGTCATATGCTCTCATTGACAAATGCGGAATAGTTAGTTCATGCGTTCATGACATCAAGGCTAGAATATTGTAATGCTCTACTGCACGCTTAATAAACAAATTACAGCTGGTCCAAAATGCAGCAGCTAGAGTTTTTACCAGAACCAGGAAGTATGACCATATTAGCCCGGTTCTGTCAACACTGCATTGGCTCCCTATTAAACATCGTATAAATTTTTAAATATTGCTTACAAAGCAATAGATTACTTACAAAGCACTAAATGGTTTAGCTCCCCAGTACTTGAGCGAGCTCTTAATGCATTATATTCCTTCACGTCTATTGCGATCTCAAAATTCCGGCCAGTTGATAATACCTAGAATATCAAAATCGACTGCTGGCGGTAGATCCTTTTCCTATTTAGCACCAAAACTTTGGAACAGTCTTCCTAACATTGTCCGGGAAGCAGACACACTCTGTCAGTTCAAAGCTAGACTAAAAACACATCTCTTTGGCCTAGCATACACATAACACACTATAGACTTCTATAATTCAATGTTAGGCTGCATAGATTAGGTCAGTCGGAACCGGGAACACTTCCCATAAATCCTGATGTACTTGTTACATCATAAGAAGAATGGCATCTACGCTAATATTAGCCTCTTTGTTTATCCCGAGGTTTACCGCAGTCCGCCGGATCCAGGCCGTATCCATATCTGATAAAGGACCTGCGTCTGGACGCGACGACAACGCAGTCCTGAAGTGTCAACTAGTCCCTCCCCTGCGAAGGCCTCCTTCCCTTTACCTCTGTACAGATAATCGTTGTCGGGATAATTCCGGTTCACGTGGCTACGCCGAAGCGATAAAATTCTGTATTATAAATTTTAAGGCCAGACAAGTAGTTTGTTGAGGGTTGATTTTTTAGGGAAGGACTAATGCCTGCGCACATATTTTCAAACGCCCATACATATAGAATGAACTATTAATGTGCATGTGCACACTATCAGCGTTCTCAAAGGTTCGCGTTTTTAAAGTTTGCGTAGAGAGAACTTAAGAGTTTTCTGTTAAAACGGTGTCGTGTTAGCGGCCCCTAAGTTAATAACTAATGATCGTTGCGACGGAAGTGAATCAATCAAAATGGACTTTAACTGTAAAATAACTTTATTCTAGAGCTGCCATAAAGCCAAAACAATCTGTTACTTTAATTTCCTATTATCACTGTAAAGACGCTTTGGAACAATCTACATTGTTAAAAGCGCTATATAAATGTAGATGACTTGAGTGGGAAAATCAAATCAATTTCCCCTAGCTCAGCACATACAAAATAATCATGTTTTTACAAACTTTTAAAACTCATCAACTACAACGTACACACTCATACATATGCACAACACACAAGAAAGAATTAAAAAATGTAAAGCACTTCTCCGCCTCCAAGAAACAATATCCCACCAGAAATCTGCCGTGCCGGGTCAGCATCCTCTGAAAAAGCAAGAACTCTTCTTCACTTTGTTTCCTTTCCCGCAGTCAAGGCAATTATTCACAGTCTGAGAGTCACGGTCACTGGTGGTGAGGAGTCCTCTTTGCCCAGCACACTCTCTTTAAATGCTCATAGAGCATGTGACTAGCGCTCCTTAATACTTCCCCTTCATTATCTAACTAAGCTTAACACGTAAGATATATCTAGCCATCTTTGTTGCTGGACAAATCCTAATGGTCTCGAGCAACACAAAACTTTTCCCTTTTCCCCTGAGCACGAAGGCCAGTCACATTAACTCTCCCAGGACTCACCTTTCCTCTCGCAGCTTGTCTCTTAAATTTCTTCCGTCAGTTAATAGCCACGTTTACATGGACACTTTTCGGAACATAGTGTTTACGTGAACGCTAAATAAACTGATCGGGTTGATGCGCGAGCTAATATGTCACAAGCTTTAAATCGAATTTAAATGTTTGACATGCACACACTGCACAGTTTCCCCGCTGTTGTTTCATAACCATCCTCATTTCCTTTTTTTTTTAAGCAGACTTAATATCAATTTCGGGTTCTAATTAGAAGTAAAGGCGCCCATTCCCATGCCCAAAACTAGGTTTTAGATTGACACTACAGTCATTTATTATAGTCAACAACATCAGCTCATCCTTGCGTCATTCGTCATTACGCCATCGAGCGGATTAGAAAAGGTTTTTCCTTCCTCTCTCAACCTGATTGAAATATCAATCGGTTTGGGCCTTTTTATTCTGATTAAGGAATTTACATGAAGCATTTTCATTCGGATTGGATTTTTAAACCAAATATAATCGGAATAAAATATTCCATGTAAACGCACCTAGTGCAAGGAGAACACACCGCTGAAAAGCTCAAGTGGGCAGGATCAAAGCCCAACAAAAACTCCCCAGCATTCAGTAGGTACTACACTAATATAACAGTTATTATATTTATAGGCCTATG